CCTATCTGAGAATCTGCCTACGGCACCGGCACTATCTCTGAAACAAAAAGCAACTGTTTGTCGCATTTGCATTAGTCGATCTAATCCAAGCACTTTTAAAATTTATAGTTTATACAAGGTCAGTCCAGGTCAGTTTTGATCACTTTAAACTCGATTATTGATTGATTGTTCAGTTGAAATGAGAATGAGCATCAAACTTTGCAAGGAACAATATCCCTGCAACTAATATGCAAGTACCGATCTAATAGCTGAGGGGTAAAAACAAACAACCCACTTCTGATTGCTTTAGAGATCTGAAATTCGGCATGCATGCTATTTTCGTCTAACAATTTTAGATGCAATCATAAAAACTAGCAATTAGAGACCTAAATTAGCTTAATTAAATTACGCCCCAAGGACCCTAAAATTGAGGACATGATTTCTAAAGATACCGACAAGACTGGAGGCCTATTGACACAGTTACTTCGGCCTCAATCGATGTGAGCGCGCTGGCCGTGATCGTATAGTGGTTAGTACTTCGCGTTGTGGCCGCGACAACCCAGGTTCGAATCCTGGTCACGGCATGTAGGCTGCTGTGGGTCTCGCACTGCCAAGCTCACATAACAATTTCAGATGCAATCATAAAAAACTAGCAATTAGAAACCTAAATTAGCTTAATTAAATTACGCCCCTTCTCTGTTTAAAGCGTATCGGTCTCTCAAGATTTTTAGTCATACTTAATCAAGTCATTAGATAAAGTAGAAAATAAACTATATAAAAAAATTGATGACAAAAAACGTGGGTCGGGCAGATGGGTCGGGAAATTTGATGGTGAACGTATCCACGTTTTTTGTCATCAAATGTATGAACAGTCATCACAAGAACCTGCACAGCTCGAGGAAGTACAAAATCTACGAGCAGACATTGGTAGATCCCCTAGGGTCGGAAGAAAAATTTATTTTCTACTTTTTAGTCCACAAGAAAAACGTGGTTTTTTAAAAAGTTTTTTTTAAAGTATTTTATTTTCTCCTTTTTAGTCCGTTGCTACACATGAAAAACGTGGTTTTTAAAAAGTTTTTTATATAGTTTATATAGTTATAGATTGTTTCATAAGGCCAACAGTTTTTCAAATGTTCGTTTTCTAAACTATTTCGTGATGACTATGTTTAGTAGTTGTTTTATAAAAAAACACATAAGAAAACTGGATTCTCTAATTTATACTTTTCATAAGTTTTGTTATAAATATAATATTGCATCTTATAACAATGTTAATAAGATATTTACATGTTGTAGCAAGAACTATTTACAAGATTTCTCAATTACGTAGTTTAATTATTCACAGAAGAAACACAATCAATTAAAATTATAATGACATTTTCATTGCTTCTGCGTTTTACACTTCAAGCTGCATAAAATAACATAATTATTTAATGTTGAACACTGCGTAGTCCTTGAGTGTTAGCATTTCTTCTTCTTCGTTTATAATTATATTTATGTAGGATGATTACAGCTACAACTTGGTGAATCAACTGGACCTTGGTCATCGGATCAGTGGTCACATCATACATTTTTTCCATATTGGGGACATATATTACAACGCAGCTGATTGCACAAGGAGCAGTCCTGTATGACGTGCTTTGTGTTCTTAGTGGCCGTGGAAGAAGGACATGTTCCGTCTGTACCAGAATTTAATTTAGCTTTTTAAATATGTGCTGTTTCAGTCTAATATGAACTGTCCAGAGTCTGAACATTTTACGTTGCTCTTGACGTATTAATTTGACAAATCCGTCTTCTTTTGGTCTTAGTCGCTGATCTTCTTAGTTTTGGTTTTCTTTTAAAAAAATCGTAAAATATTGTCAGCATATTACAAAGCAAAATATAGCGTTTAATAACGTAAAAAAATCTGACAATATGTTGCATTGACTTGTAAGTGCACTTTACTACACATACATTACACACACACAAACAAATTCACACTCAATTATATATATATATATATATATATATATATATATATATATATATATATATATATATATATATATATATAATCATTTAACTTGCACTAGGTTAAAAGTGTTGTCTTTTTCTTTATAACGCAACCAATATCAAAATCAGCACATCAACTTGAAAGTCGGGTTCAAAGTTTCTTTTAGGCAACTCTTTAATGGAGTTGGGGGGGGGGGGTAAGGGTTGATGGATTGATGGATAAATCGATAGATTGATGGATGGATGGATAGATGGATGGATGGATGGATGGATGGATGGATGGATGGATGGATGGATGGATGGATGGATGGATGGATGGATGGATGGATGGATGGATGGATGGATGGATGGATGGATGGATGGATGGATGGATGGATGGATGGATGGATGGATGGATGGATGGATGGATGGATGGATGGATGGATGGATGGATGGATGGATGGATGGATGGATGGATGGATGGATGGATGGATGGATGGATGGATGGATGGATGGATGGATGGATGGATGGATGGATGGATGGATGGATGGATGGATGGATGGATGGATGGATGGATGGATGGATGGATGGATGGATGGATGGATGGATGGATGGATGGATGGATGGATGGATGGATGGATGGATGGATGGATGGATGGATGGATGGATGGATGGATGGATGGATGGATGGATGGATGGATGGATGGATGGATGGATGGATGGATGGATGGATGGATGGATGGATGGATGGATGGATGGATGGATGGATGGATGGATGGATGGATGGATGGATGGATGGATGGATGGATGGATGGATGGATGGATGGATGGATGGATGGATGGATGGATGGATGGATGGATGGATGGATGGATGGATGGATGGATGGATGGATGGATGGATGGATGGATGGATGGATGGATGGATGGATGGATGGATGGATGGATGGATGGATGGATGGATGGATGGATGGATGGATGGATGGATGGATGGATGGATGGATGGATGGATGGATGGATGGATGGATGGATGGATGGATGGATGGATGGATGGATGGATGGATGGATGGATGGATGGATGGATGGATGGATGGATGGATGGATGGATGGATGGATGGATGGATGGATGGATGGATGGATGGATGGATGGATGGATGGATGGATGGATGGATGGATGGATGGATGGATGGATGGATGGATCATAATAAGCCTATCTGCTTTACTGTTCACATATTAAATAAACTAACAGAAATCTTAAAGTAGTAAAATGTTGTATGAAACTTACCTGACAGCGTTTATCATATTTAATCCGTCTGGCTTTAGTGTTTTTAATTTGTCGATATAATATTGCTCCAATTCTCTTAACGGTGCCCCCACTTTTCATTTTTTTAACACAGAGAATCTAAAGTTTTCTGTATCGCATATAGAAAAATGTTTGTATAATAATCTTGTTTTTTGACTCTCACATTTACTTTTAATGAAATTAAAATGGCAGTTTATTCTCATTAAGATATGCTGTTTTGTGTTTCCAACATAGTTTGCTTTGCTGCAGGTTTTGCATCGTATTAAATATATGCTTCCCGCCGATCGTGTCGAGTAAATTTCCTGTCTGTCTAGGCTATTCTGATCATATTTTTCATAGTATGTCATTAGTGTTCTAATGCGCTCCTCAGTTAGCTCATTCAATTGTATTGAGGAATGTGCCTGAAACAATGTAAACCAATCAAATGATTATAAAAACTACATTTTGTTAAATATCAGTAATTTAAGCAAAGTTTTACGATCCAAACATTCAAACATTTGGCACTATTAACAGCAAAACGTTGTTATTAAGTTTGTATTCCAAAACAGTGCTTTTATTCTTAAATAAAATGGGAGTGATCTCCCCAAAACTTTCTCGAATATTCTTATATGAAACAACAGGGGATGGCAACTCGGGATATAGACATGATTTTTAATCAATTTTAAATGCTTAAAATTTCTAAAATAGAATAAAATCTCGTAGAAAAAATAATTGCACACTTTTTGAACGCCAAAATAAAATGTGAATAATAGCAATATTATTAGTACTTTATAAATTCCCATGCGTTTTTTGAGAAATCGAAAATAGTGTAAATTACTACTTTCGGTCGATGGAAATAACTCAAAATTTGACAGAAGGCACAAAAAGAGATGTTGTACTTACATGTGAAATTGTATTTATCTATCTGAAATAATTCTCGAGTTATAGGCTTTTGAAACATTGAAAGTAGAAAAAGTTCCCTATTCGGTTATCGGAAATCGCTCAAAAGTTGATACGGATCTGAGATTTTGATATAATACTTATATACAGGGGCGTAGCGAGAGGGGGGGGGGGGGCCGGGGGGTGCGGAGCGCACCGGGTGACACAATTTAATGGGTCGACACCAAGGCAAAAAACAGCAAAATATATAGAGAAAAACTTGAGGGGGGGGTGCAAATCGAAAGTTTGAGGGGGGTGCAAATCGAAAACGTCCCTGGGAAGGGTCGCTACGCCTCTGGGGGGTGACACCATTAAGCGCCGCACCGTGTGACACCCGACCTCGCTACGCCACTGCTTATATATTAAATTTCATCAACCTAGCTGTAACGGTACTCAAGTTTGCGTATTTACACACACATACACACACACAGACATACGGACAAGATTGCAAAACTATGTTTTTCCGTATCAGTGAGGTGTAAAACGTCGAGATTTACAAAAATCTCGATTTATTTATTTTTTTGCACTATTACAATATTTTCTCTGTACTTCGTATATACGAGAAAGTAAAGATTGTAGCCATTTCGGCTCTGTTTTTACTTTCTTGTATATACGAAGCACCTATAGAGACAGTCTTGTAAAAAAAATATAATAAAAAATTTGCAAATGTCGACGTTTTAGGGCTCCCTGAGTCGGAAAAACATAGTTTTGCAATCTTCTCCGTATGTCTCTGTGTGTGTTTGTGTGTCTGTGTGTGTGTAAACACGATAATTTGAGTACCGTTACAGCTAGGTTGATGAAATTTCATATACAGAGCTAGTTTATTTGTACATTCTAATTATTTTCCGAAGTAAAAACCTTACAAATACATACATAATTGCTGTTTGCTTTGACTTCTTTAAGCAGTTTGATAATGTTCTCTTTTCCTTTCTTCTGTGCTAAGTCTAATGCATTTAATCCCTTTTTATTGTGAACATGAACATTGCATCCTTTTTCTACAAGAAGTTTAGTAATTTCATAATGTCCATTTTTGGAAGCAATCATTAACGCAGTACACCCTTTGATATTAATAGCGTCTATGTCGCATTGACTTCTTGATAATGCTTCCAATATTTTTTTAAATTCATTTTTGGAGGATGTAGGACCATTTAAACATCTCCCTTTTTTAAGTTTACTTGAATTCCATTTTTGTTTTCGAAGAATTTTTTTCAGTAATAACTTGACTACGTTTTTATGACCTTGTTTACATGCCATCATCAATGCTGTCCAACCGTCATTATCGATGGCATTAATATTAGTTCTTCTATGGTCTAAAATAACTTGAACGACGCTTTCGTGTCCTTCAAAAGACGCTATCATCAATGGATTTCTTCCGCGGTGTTTTCTAGTTTTTATTTTATCTCCAAATTTTTCAAATTTATCAACTATGCTTGTGTGCCCACTATCTTTTGCCAAAGCTAATGCATCCCACCTTTTGCTTCGTAGCGTATTCACATCAGCTCCACTTTGGAGAAGCATTTCCACAACTTCTGACTGTCCATTCTTGCTAGCTATCATTACTGCATCCCATCCTTTACTTAGTTCATGATTTAAAAATTTCACTCGTTCTGAAAGTAAATCTACGATAGTCGTATGACACTGCAAAGTAGCTAATAATAATGGGTTTATTCCAAAACACTTAATAATATTAACGTTTGCTTTGTGTTGTAATAGTAGCTCAACCGACTTGTTTAGTCTTTTTTCTAATGCTACAATTAAAGCGTTTACCAATACACCATTTGATACGTTTACATCAGCCCTGTTATTAATTAAAAGTTTGGCCACATTTTCATGTCCCTCTTCAGATGCCAGCATCAATGGACTCAAATTCCTTCGGAGAGATGAATTAACATCTTCTATTTTTTCTAACAGAAGTTCTACAATTTTTTCATGTCCATTTTGCAAAGCAAGAATTAACGCACTAGATTCATCACACCGACTCTCTGTTTCAGCTTTTTTTTGTAGCAAAAGTTCGACAATACTTGCGTGTCCGAATCTTGAGGCCAGCATCAAGGCGTACCAGCCTATACTGACTTTTTCATTGACATTAGCCCCACTATCGATTAGAAGCTTTACAACGTTTCTGTGTCCATTTTGTGAAGCCAACATTAAAGCACTCCATCCTTTAGTAACTTTTGCATTTACAACAGCTCCATTATAAAGCAGACGTTGTACAACACTTTGGTGATTATATTGTGATGCGTACATTAAAGCATTCCAACCAGTATATTGTATTATATTTACATTGGCTCCATTGTTTATTAGTTCGGCGGTTTTTTTTTCGTCACCTTTTTCAGCAGCCACCAGCAATTCAATATCTTCTTTAAACCGTATGGCATTCACATCAGCTTCATGTTTAATTAATAGTTCAACAACTTTATCGTGTCCTCCGATTGAGGCCAACATTAAAGCATTCCATTGTTCACAACTCATTGAATTTACTTCAGCTCCTTCATTTATCATTTCTTCTACAATTTTCGCTCTTCCTTTGCGTGAGGCGTCCAGTAAAACTTTGTTCAAATCTGTTGCCATCTTGTTGAGTCTACCAAAGCTTGAAAAAAAATAATTTTAAAAAGTCACTTATACATATCTTACGATAATTAATTAATATAAAAACAGTGAAATAACAGCTACCATTATAGACTTAACTATTTTTAAATGGATTATTTTGATAATAATATTTCAAAATTAAATTACAGCTCTTCATATTTTATATTATAAAATGTGATTACGGTATATTATACAATGGTAGTTTACATTAAGCATCTTCGTCTTTGCTATTTTATTACTTAACACAATATTCTATCCATGGTTGATTCTTTTAAAATAAACAACAGGCGTATTATAGACAAGCCTATACATATCTACCATCCTCCACAACTCAAAATAGTACATTTCCCTTGTAGATTTATGAAGTGAAAATGCAGGACTCAGTTTCCTATCCATTACAATGGTCAAACGGATTTAAAAGTTCATTTTCTTGACAGAGATGATGAAAAAAGGGCAGATCCTTTAGGCCTGTAAGATGAAATATATTTTTTGTCTTGACCTATATTTATGTAACTAGAATTTAGAAAAAAACTACAATCTATTTAAAACCCGTTAAAATGTGTAAATCATTTTTTATGATAATGAGCGGTTATTTTTGTGCTTTTTTGTTTTGGTTTTATAGCAAAACAGATTTTCAGTTATTTGATATCCAAATTTGTATATATATATATATATATATATATATATATATATATATATATATATATATATATATATATATATATATATATATATATGTATATATATATATATACATACATATATATATATATATATATATATATATATATATATATATATATATATATATATATATATATATATATATATATATATATATATATATATTTAAGCGAGGGTCTTTGCAATAAAAAAATTAAGCTGATCATAGAGCTAAAAAAACAAAATTGACAGTACTCTAATTTTTGTTTCTAAATTCAGAAATAAGTAAATTATTATTGAATTTCTTTTAGGTGATATAATCACTTCAAACAATTTTTAATACACGATATTTAGAAGTTAGTTGATTATGAGAGTGGGAAGCTCAATGAACGGCGAAGTAAATGAGCTTGTTATCTGTTCAGCATTTTAAGTTAGCTACTCAAGTTATGTACTCATTAACGAGGTTTGAAATTTTTTGATACCCACAGTTATCAAAGGATAACGGGTAGTCTAGTATTTAATATAAAAAGCTGAGTAAGAACTATTGTACGGGTAATTCTAGGCGTAATGTCGATAAAACTAAATCGACCGGCACAGGTGTGTCCAACGTATACTCTATAAACCTAGAGGGCGGTATGAATAGAGAGTCTGAAGGCTTGTATTAACCGGCGGTATTTATGTGCTGCAAATGCTTTCGTTTCAACAAGCTGTAAGCGAATAAAGTGTGGTAACTAGGTGGTTATGAGACCAGATCCTATGTTGCATTAGGTTTTAAAATATAACTTGCTAATACCGCGTTTACACTTGCGACATGTATACTATACATGTCTAAAAAAAACTTCGCAGTAAGTGAGTAGGCTCCCCTATTATCTTAGGCCCTATAGCAGGGGTTCCCAACCTTTTTTTACTCTAGAGCACATTCTAAAATATCTGTAGGGTGGCGGGCACCATCTATTTTAAATCGACAAACTCCTTCCAGAGCGTAGCGACCCTTCCCGTCACCCGGAGACAAAACTTTCGATTTGCACCCCCCCTCAAACTTTCGATTTGCACCCGCACCCCTCCCCTTCAAACTTTCGATTTCCATCCCCTTCAACCTTTAAATAATGTTTATGAAAAAAATTCTGTCTCTGTCGAATAGTGAGAGGCGGGCACATACGAATCGTTCGGCGGGCGCCATGGCGCCCGCGGGCACGGGGTTGGGAACCCCTGCCCTATAGTGAAGTTTTTTTTTCTAGAAATGTATAGTATACATGTCGCAAGTGTAAACGCGGTATTACAGACATCTGTGGTTTTATATAAGATATTATTTAATTTATTTTTGATGCAAAGCATATTTATTTAAAAAAAAAAACATTGTTGGAGATAGATTTCTAAATTTGGTTGTTACTACATATGTATATGTTAGTTAAGTATGGATATCCTGTATGTTAGCAATAAATCAATTTCAGAACGGATAAAATAGCGCGTCCCAGCGCGTTGCCGCGGTCTCAGGAGAGATTTTCATCCGCGCGCTGGTTTACCTATACTACCGCTCAGCCCACAGCATGGCGTGCGATGTTCTGTAAGAAAGCCTTGAGTGTAATGAATCTCCGTAATAGTGAGGTAGAACACACTTAGGCGACTGCCTGGGGACGTAGAGCGGCGCTTTCGAGAGCCCCCGATTACACTACTGCAGTACGATCCCTGGCTCCTTAACACTAAAGTAGTTGCCATGGTGCTCACGGGTTTGCACGGGGCGCCAAATCGCGCCTTGCTGGAGCGCAGGCGTACATGCCTGATTGAATTTATTGAACGACTATAATACACCATTTTATCTATAGTCTAAGTCTATTGCACTGTTTAAAATTAACGTAGGCGACATAGCGCTCATAGGATAGCCCGGGGCGTCAAGATGTCCACTGCCTGGGCGCCGGCGACGCACCTGATTCAATTTAGTGAACGACTAAAACGCCCCATCCTATTCAAAGTCTATTTCAGTATTTAAAACGAACGTAGGCGCATATCAATCTTGCAGTGGGCCGCCCGTGCGAAATGTACGGTGTCGAACCGCATCAGACTTTTTTTTTTTAAATTTTTACTTTTATTGTGAAATTATAAAAAGGTCTTTTTTTACAGAAACCTGCCCTAGAGTTTTCTCACCAACCACTTAAAATTTCGTGGTGATCGGATAAAAATGAAAAGTATGAAACCGTAATCGACTTTTATTTTTAAATACCGTATAAAGAGAAGAATCACCCCCCCCCCCCCCCAAACCTAATATTTAACTAGTTTACTAATATCGCCTATACATAAATGTTCTAAATGTGACCGGGATTTGGGCTGTGCGTATAGTCAGACTTGTATTTAAAGCCAGAATAACGCTTGTGGTTAGATTTTGCTTGATTTTCAATTATTGATCCATAATATGAAAATATGAAGCCATTAAAATGTTTGTATACCAAATAGAATATATGGCCGGCAATGTTTAACCTTGATTTTAACCTGCTGCAGCCTATCTGTATAATTATGCATTAATAACTGTTGAAAAATGTAACAGTCTAATCAATGAACATTACAGGTACACAATTAATTTAAGCTTAAAATGGCTCTATAAAAACGAATGTATGCTTTAATTTAACGTTTTCATTAATAATCAAAAATATTTAATAACATACTAAGAATAAATTAGAGTTTAAATTTAGCTTTTCTGTGTTTTTTAATTAGTGATTGTTCTAATGCTGAGATAAAATTGTCTTGAAATCGTGTTCATCTGACATGGTAAAAAGGCGTGGTTGGGAACTATTGTGCAAAACTGAATCTAGCCAACTATTAAATACCTGAAATAGTAAAAGTATAGCCGGCTGGTTGAAGCGCTGACCACTCTATCACTCTATATATCGCCGTCACAAAAAAAAAAAAAAAATATATGTATCTACTTTTTCTACACTATGAATCACAAAGTTAGCAAAATGTTACTCGCATTAGAGTCATGGCTATTTGAAACTGCGACAAAATCAATACATTCTTACGGTTTGGACTAGTAAAAATTCAAATCGATCGACGGTCGATCGATTGTGTTTAGTATTTATTTACTTTCAGTTTGATTTAAGCACGAGAGCAGGCTAAGTTGTACTCATTAAAAAATCAGGTCAAACATATTTAATGTATTAAAAACGTCAAACTGATGTATGATTTGTGAACATTATTAACACAGTTAAAAATCGATTATTAATAAAAAACTAAATTCTGAAAATATTTGCCTATAGACATTTAATTGAAATTTAATAGTAAATGTTTGCCTATAGACATTTAATTGAAACTTAATAATAAATATTTCAAAATCCCGACAGAGGACGCCATTTGCTTCTTAATAAACACACAAGCCAAGCCACTGTGTTTTACAGATATGTGTTTTACAAATTTCAGAGCAGTACCAGGCCGTGACGGCTAGTGGTAAAATAATGTATTAGCTTTAAGTAAATATTAGTAATATTATAACATAAATAGTGTTTATACCTATAAATAAAGCAGTTGAATTTTCAATCGAAAAGTCCCACTAAATAAGAAATATCACAAATTTAAAATATGTATTAAAATAAATTGTATCAGTAAAATTATGCACATCTGCCTCGCACGCACGTTTTTTTGACGTGAGCCCGTAATCGGGTTAGCAGTCTAGTGCTTTACCGCTAGGCTACTCAGTCAATGCAGAACGACTGAGCGTATAATGCATATACATAGATTTAGTAATGTTGCGGAAAATTCCGAAATTTTATCTGCGGTGTTTATTCATAATATATTAATATACTATCTAAAAGCACAATGAATTTATCAAAATTGTAATATATTTAATATATTATCGAATAACACTTAAATAAAAGTGACTAGAAATATGTATGGTAAAGGTTAGCATGCCATTAGATACCTACATTAATACCTACATGAATTATTTAAAACTTGACTCATCTGTAATGTTTTCGGCCAAAGCTCATACAGGCTATACATGAAGAGATGATCTACCCACTACCACCTACTTCCTCACCACACACACATACATCTACAGACGCCCACCGTGTAGCCAAGATAGTAGGCCACGTACGCCGGTCATAGCTAATTTTATCTCCTTCATTAAAGTATATTCAGATATATATATATATCCGGATATATATATATATATATATATATATATATATATATATATATATATATATATATATATCCGATCGATTTAAATTTTTACTTGTCCAATGTATTGATTTTTTCGCAGTTTCATATTGCCCATTACTGGAATGGGAGAAACATTTTGCTAAATTTGTGATACATAATGTAGACAAAGT